TACGGACCAGCCGCGCTCCTCCCCGAGGCGGTCGCCATGCTGCCGTACGGACGGAGCCCCGCCTCGGCCCCGCATCTCGAGCTGCCGGTCTCCCCTCGGCGTAAGCACGTTCATCTCTCCGGACCGAGCGGCGCTCTGTGACTCCCAGAAGTGTGGAGCGCACAGCGGAGCCTGCTCTCGGCCAGACTTGCCAGGTCCTGGAAGTCAGCTTGGCCGGGATGCCCTGCGTGCGTGGGAGCCATTGTTCATTCATTCGCTTGCCCAGCACGATTGCTGAGTGCTAGGGTTTTCAGGTACCGCGTTATAGCAAGGACGATTTAGTGCAGCTTAAGATGAAGGAGCTCGCACTCGGGTAGAAGAGACGGAGACGGAAAGAATGTATTTTCAGAGTGTGAAAACTGCCAGGTTTTGAAAATGCTGTGGACTGCCTCAGGAAAAAGCAGTGAAAGGCAAAGTAGAGAGTTAGACTCTTTTCTCTCCACGGTGGCCCTATCTGGCTCCACAAGTGAATGCCATAAAAGGTTAAGGCGCAAGCCAGCAGGTGGCGTGGTGTAAGGTACTGGGCTCCCCTGTGGAAGACCGAGGTTCCAGGCCCACCTGGTGGCTTCCTCACTTTCTGTCGCTCTCGGTGAGCGCACGTGCCCTGCTGGGAATTAAATAATAATCATCAATAAAGCGTGGCCGGCAGGTGGCGCGGTGATTAAGGGCGCTGGACTCCCACGTGGCCAACCGCGGTGAGTTCCGGACCTGACCCTGACGGCTAGCATTCTCAGTTTCTCTCTCCTCCCTTCTCTAGTTAAATTTAAATGAAGTTAAATAAAATAATTCTTTAAAAAAATCAATAAAGCTAAATAAACAATTCTTTAAAAAATAATAATAAAGGGGCTACTTTTCACTAAGGTTAACCCAGAAAAGAATTAGGTTTAGTAAAGACAACGACCTTAGGGGATGACAGTGGGGCGGCGCCTAAGGGGCTGGACTCCCACATGGCTGAGTATAGTTGGAGTCCTGGACCTGCTGGCTTGCTTTCTCCCTTTCTCTCACACTC